CCCCCCCCTCCGCGTTCTCCCACACCAATGTTAAGCTGCTCAGCCCAAAATGCACGTTGTGAAACTGCTCAAGAAACATTAGCGACCTTAAACTTTTCAAAATCTACGAGGCGACGTAAACCGGAAGTGTAAATAATTTCACTTAGGGTTTCGTGCCCTCAAAGTGTGTCTTCCCTGTGGATGAGTTGACTTTACTGACAATGTTTTGTCAGTAAAATGAATGGAATTTCAAATAAACAGAACCCCAAAAAGAAATTATTTACACTTCCGGTTGACTTCGCCGTCGTAGTTGAAAAGCTTAAGGTCGCTATTGATAAGGGGAAGGAGGATAGAGAATGAGAAACAGCTTTGGAAGGGAATTCCTGGGGCATTTTTCGAGGTTAGGCATGATAAAGGACGTACTTCCCAACAATTTTGCAAATGATTGTAGCTACATACCTCGTTGAATCGTTTGAGAAACAGATCTAGATTGGCTGTGATCTTGTCGAACCTTTCGCGACCAAACGTATAGTAAACCAGTTCATACTAAGAAGCCAAAAACACAAGCTTTTAATTAAAATACCTATAGAGCTTTTTCATCTCAGTCCCTAGAGAGTTAACTAACGATAGAGATGGCAGCCATATTGGTGTCTAACAAATAAAACTAATGACAGAGTTATTGTCAAAGGTACACCAATATGGCGGCTGTGACGTCATGTGAAAACGTTCTCTAAGTTGGGTCGCTATCTCTGTTTTGCATTCATACGAAGATATACTAAATAGACATAATACGGAGACCTCTCTAACGCGGGCACTTTTCATTGACCGTATTAAGCAGGTTCAATCTTTATCTTTGATTAACAGTGATTCACGTACAATGTTGATACTGGTGAACAGCTCGTAGTCGTACACAGTCAGGTGATATGCTATCTCTCTTGAACTTGTCATCTCCAGAATATTGAAGGATCCTTGTTCTGGTCCTTCTTGCTCTGAAAGTGGAGTCTGTGATATAGGGAATAAAAATGGAAGATGAATTGGTCATCTGAATGAAACAAAGTAGCTTAGGAAAGAGCTACTGCCTATATTGCAGCAAATTAAAAGTCAACTGTTTGGTTTATCTTCCAAACGTTGAATGGTTTCTTCGCCACTCTTTTGGTGTTAACCTATTTAGTATATGGGCTTAATAGACCTCTTACCGCCATTTTCATTGCTACGCGGCCACCCCAGACAAAAATCGCGACACGTTGACACGTTTACAATCGCAATCAAACACGTTGACATCATTTACACACGTCTGTGACTCAAAAGGCGCCAAAACTTGTCGATTGTTTACAAGTATTATGAGCCACACTCACCGGGCCTACAGGGCCGATCCAAACGCTTGTAAATGACTTCAACGTGTTTGATTGACGGCAGTGTATTGCAAAGTACACGTCGCGATTTTTATCTGGGGTGGCCGCGTAGCAATGAAAATGGCGGTAAGCTTAGGCCCCGTCCACACGTATCCGGAAATTTTTGTATCCGCAAATTATTTTTTGCGGATACGAAAATGTTTGCGTCCACACGCAGCGTATTYGAATCGTTTTCACCGTCCACACGTATCCGTTTTCGTAAAATTTGCGGATACGGACACAAAAATTTGCGGACACGTGTGGACGCAACCCTTATCCGCAAAAAAAAATTTGCGGATGCAAAMATTTCCGGATACGTGTGGACGGGGCCTTAAGCGTAATGTTTTTTCAGACCATCTGTCATTCCCTAGAGAATCATTTCTTTGTTTAATGATTGCTCATGAAAAGACACATGAATAGACCCGTTGCATGTGACCTCAAAGCAGCTCGATCTGGGGGATAAAACAAAATAATTTCAGTATTATGCGAATTGGGAACCTATTGTTGTCCTCCAAATTGAGCTGCATTCAAACGTACTGCGAAGGGGTCTATATGAATTCAAACAAAGAATGTTATTCGCAAGGGAATGACACGTGGTCTGAAATGTGAAGACTTTGCGTAAAAGCTAGAGAGCTTTATTAGTAAGTTCGTATCGTAAATTCTATGTAAGGCAAAAAATGGTCAGATTTCTTTACCAGTGAATCAAGATGTTCTCTCGGTGCTACGAACAATCTGCCATTAACACTCAGTCTGGTGACCACACACATGTCGTCGGGTTTGTATGGTATTATCTCTGCATAGAAAAGAAAATCAACTTAGAGATGAAAGGAGGTCGTCAGAGGTGGCTTTTATTCTCAAGACAGTATTCGTCTTAATTCAACATTCGGATGTAGTGTTAGCACTTTTCCCATGTCCAGAAGGAATGATTTTCTGGCTAAAATTAGTGAAATTGCAAAGCTGTTAAAATTGTTAAACAGTGAAGTACGCGTTAAATTCCCCTTATACCCGTGCATTCACGCTCTTTAAAAATGCGCGTTAAATCCCTAGATCGCCACCTTAATTCCCCGCCTAGTCCCGGGGTCGGGGATCGGGGTTTCAATTGACTATTGTATTACTTACCGCTGTTTGACTTGACTTCACAGAGCACACAATCATCTCCAAGGAGGACACGTTCTTCTGCTGTCTCGACGATCTTCTGTGCTGTGTCACCGTACTTCAGTCTCACCGTAGTGTAGGTATGATCAGCACAAAAAACTTTGAAAATAACTGTGTGAGTGAATACAAATTTTGAGTTATACAAGGACATCAATATGATACGTTTCTCGGTTAAGCGCGACGCCATGCCGGCACACAACGTATAGTATTATTGAAGGGGGTCCGTACGTGAGCCGGTATAACAAGAAGAGCTAGTGCGCATGACCAATAAACATACCGTAGTCGTCACGTGATATTGGTTTGCCAGCGGTTCTCTTGGTTCGTTCGAAGATGTTCGTGTTTCCAACCCGAAAACCGACGGAGAACGACAACGAACGACACTGTCAAAAGGCAATAAAATAAACATTGAGTGACACAATTCTGTGTGTATAAATACATAGCCATATCAAAAAGATGGATGTATTTATGTCCTTGGGAATTTCAATTAAAAGTATGGCATAGCGGTAACATTCGCGTCTCAGGTTCGTTTCCTGGCATCACATGTGATAAGAGTTTGTTTGTTTTAGAGTTTGTTTGCGAGGGTTTCTCTCCTGGTTCTCTAGTTTTACTACCCCTGCAAAACCTAGCACGCAAAATTCAAATTGGATTTGTGAGTCAGCCGTGTCCTGACTTAGATCAG